ATTGATGTTTCTCTCTCATCGATGCTTCTAACTCTCTATCCCTCTCTCTTCTTCTCTGTAAAAAATCAATAAAAAATATATTTTAAAAATAAAAAATAAAAACAAACTTACATCTCGGAGTCAGCCCATTCTTTTCCTTCTGCTATAGGCATAAAGACAACATATATAAATGACTGGCAAGAAGTACAGATTTACAGGGGAGATCTAAGAGTACAGTCTGTTCTTGGCAATTGGGTAGCTGGGTGGCTTTACCTACGTTAGTCCATAACAACTTCATCAGTTTCTACTTTTTTCCCCCAATTGCCAACACCCTAATCTAAAATGACTTTCCTAATATATGAAAACATCAGTGGGCCGTAAAAATTCTCATTACAAGGCAAAAAAAAAAAATCTTTCTTTTTTTGTATTGGTTTGAGATTATTGTGGTAATCATTTAGTGAAATATATAAGTGAAGTATTGATGCTCTGCACCTTAAATGTATACAGTGCTGTATGTCGGTTGTACTAGTATATACTAGTAAATAAAACTGAAAGACGACAAATACAAAAGAAAGAAAATCCGTAAGTGAACCTCCTCTCCTGTAGGAAATACAGCCATACTGGTGACAATACAACTCAACCACATAGTGTTGAATTTGGTTGAATCTAGCAACTACAGAAACCTGTATGAGGGAATTCATAATATAAAGGCTGTGGTCTCAGACCTACAAAACCATGAAAGTATAGTCAAACAGATCAGATGAGAAAAGAGATGGGAGATCTTGTTTAGATGGGACTTTGATATAACGTCTGTCTCTTTTTAATGGTCAGACACATTGTTCTGAGTGTTCCAACCAAGGTTGTTGGAACCAAGCACAGTGTTTATAATTAGGTCTTTGCCAGCCATTCTATTTCTGCCTGCCAGTAATAAATCTCTAAGCTGATTGCCTTAGTATGAAAGTTCTTGTGACACAAAACCTCAGGTTAGTGAAAAGCCCATAAAAATAAAAACGGAGATTCTGGATCTCTTTGTAAACTCAATTTCTCCTTTTTTTATTTTTTAAATTTTTTATAATCTATGGGGCCTACTGATGCTTGTAAAAAATAGGTAAAATGTGGTATGTGAATCGTGGTAACAAAAAGCAAGGAGGTAGGTTGATTGTTGCTCAAAGTGGCAAGCTTTAGGACTTAAGACTCAGCCCATTCCAGATCATAAATGGGCATATGGTAAGTGAAATAAAATAAAAAAGGCATTCAGGTTACTATGGTAGAGCTTTCATTTAGTGAAGCTAATGGCAGGAGTGAGAAAAGAACTAAATGAAACTATAAGTAAACCTAATTTTAGCCAACTGTTTCAATATCCCTATGCAAACAACTTGACAACTTAGAAAAATCTAAATAAAAATGATTTGAATGTTTCTTTTCTTTCCTGGCAGAGATAGTGCATAGTAAAAATAACACCAATATAGTGTCACACATTTTTTTTTAAAAGCAAAAGTGAATAAAAAAGAGCAGAAGTAGAAAATATAGATTAAGCTCATTTCAGAATATCATTAATTCTCAAAAGTTCTAGCAACTTCTAGTCTTCATTTTGTTTAACTTTTTAAAATATATTTTATTGATTTCAGAAAGGATAGGAGAGGACGAGACAGAAATATCAATGATGAGAGAGAAGCATTGATTGGCTTCCTCCTGCACATCTCCTTCTGGGGATGGAGCCAGCAATCTGAGCATGTGCCCTTGGCCAGAACTAAAACCAGGACCCTTGAGTCTGCTGAGCCCAACCAGCTTGGGCTCCAGTCACGGTGTAGTCAGGGAAAATAATGGGAAATGTCCAAAGCTTACTAGATTGTATTGAAAAATCTTTTAGCTACTCCATAAAAAAAAAAAAGATTTGAAATCTTACATACTTGACAATAAAATTGAAAAATCAAAAGTCATGAATAAATGCTGGTCAATGTCTTCTAGTTCTTTAAAGAAATAGAAACTAATCAGTGCTGACTTGAAGTGAATTCATCAAAATGGGCTCCTAAAGTGAATAGCAAATTTTAATTATATAGAAACCTCCAAGCATGGTCTGCCTTTACACCAGTGTAACCCCTTGGGAAAAACATGGTACATATTCAGCCTATTCCACTTCTCCCGTTTGCTTTACCCCATCACCACTAAAATAACCACACACAGTCCTACCTATTTTCTATGCAAATGGATTCCATTCAAAACAAATCTCAAAGGTAGCCACAGCATGAAAAAAGAGTCTAAGAGAGGGGTGTGGCTTTAAGATGCCTCTAATACTTTGAATCAAGTCCACCAGTTGGGAATAGGGGCCACTGGGTATATGAGTGAAGTTTTAACTGTCTTGTTCTTGATTTTCTTAAGGGAATTACACAGGCCATATTTGGAAATCATTTGTAAATGTATAATCACTTCTAATTTTGCTTGAAGGCTAATTAATGTGTGGCATAGAGAATGAACTTAACCAAATTCACATTTCACATCAATAACTCACTCTACTGGTTTCTTGGGAATTAGAATATTTCTAAATGTCTCTCGAAGAACTCTCATTAATGCCTGTATATACTTAACTTTCTTTTTAGCACCCAGTCACTCTTGCCTCCCTAAATTACTCCCTCCCTATCTCCTTGATAGGTGATAAGGACGAATAAGTGATCAAAGCACCACTCAGGGCATTATTTAGAAACACTGTGTTACTGTTTACCATTTAGATTTTTCTGTTATATATATAGAGCTTTTTGGATCATCATCTTTTATATGAGATCAGATCCCCTACTTGCTTGGCTGTTGTGAATATATTGAGTCTTCAGTGTTTAACCTAACTTGGAAAACATGTTTTATTTTTTGCTTTTCTAATTAACATCAAATACAACCTTCTTGTATGTAGAAAAGCAAATTATATATAATAATAATTTATATCCATCTTTTGTTTAAAATGAGTTAGAAATGAAAAAATAAGGCAAATATATGTCAAGAAAATAAGTTGGAAACAGAAGTGACCTCCTGATTCTTGGGCTGGCATTCAAGCACCGAGTCATGCCAGCCAGGCTTTATAAACTTTTTAAAAGAGTTTTGTTTTTTATATATTTAAGGTTTTATCTCAATAGGTGTTTGAAAAATAAATTAACGTATCAACACTGTGATTTTATAGATATTACTAGAGGCACGGTGCACGAATTTGTGCATGGGTGGGGTCCCTCGGGGTAGCTGGCAAGGTAGCCTGGTGCCGCCCCTCACCTGCTCCACCATCCCAATCTATCGGCGCTAGAACCCTAGCCCCCAGCTCCCTCAGTGCTTGGGAGCCAAGTGGAAGGCTCCGCTGCTCCTTACTATCTGTGGGGCAATTGGCTGAGCAACTTGGCCCCTGCTCACACCACCTTGGCCTGGTGCTGTCTGCTCACCTACTGCACTATCCCACTGCAGTCCCACTCTCATTGGCGCTCATTGCCACCGACTGCCAGGGCCACATCTCTGACTCTGCAATGTTCTGTGCTGCCCTTGGTGGTCAGTATATGTCATTGCAAGTGATTGAACTCATAGTCTAGGGACAATTTTCATATTAGGCTTTTATTATATAGGATTGCTTAGATAAAACTAGATTGATTTTTAAAGGAGGGCATGAATTTAAAGCCAAAACTCTGAAAAGTATATTACAGGAAGCACACAGCTAAGGGCACATTGTGAAGTTGATGCATGAAGGCCTGAAGTTGGCAAAAACTTGTTAGCATTAATGGTTTCAGTCATTAGCTCATGACAAGCCTTGGGCTCTTCTTCTGTAGACTGTGGGTAAGTAAGTAAATAGTAGAAAGGGAGACTTCAAGTTAGAATCCATTATGTTACCTTTTTGTTTCTCCCCTCATGTTGTTAGGTGATAGAATTTCTTGTGTACAAAGCTCTGACTTTTTTTTTTTTAACATATTTTTTAATTTCCCTCATGAATAGCATTTTCCTTACTTGCAGGCAACAATGTGCATCCAGTGGAAAATGTTCCCTTAGCTTTATCCTTCTTTAACATTTCATTTTCTAGGTCCTTTGTGGAACCTAAACAACTTCTAGTGTCTCTTTCCCTCAGCCCTGGCGGTTGGTTATTCCTTATAGTCAGTGTTGCAGGGCTGGGGAGGTGATAACAGGGACCTGCTCAAGTCGGATAAGATGTTTAAAAATACAAGATACCATGAACTACAATTAAGTAACACCGAGGGTCAAATAATCACCTTTCCATAATAGTTGTCTTATTCAAATAAGAACTCTCAAGTATGAGGTGTGCTGTAGAAAATATAGTCACTTACTCAATTTTCTTTCTAAATCAAAATGACATTAAAATTGGAATTAGCATAGTTTTCTAATATTGCATGTTTACATTTTTATCTCCAACTCTTTCTGGGGTTTTCTTTCAGTCTTGTGTCAAATCTTAGCAGTGATTGATTTAAGAGAGGATATGGATTTCTTGATTTGTATATTTTATTTTATATTTTTCATTACATCTTGATGATAACTTTGTTTTCATTGATAACTGCTTTGCATTTTAATTTTAATTTTATCTTTTTTGTTTAAAGTACTATCTAACTCCCCCATTTCCCCCCATTAACTTCTTCCAGCCTGCTCCCATCCTTCCCTCCCCCAAAGGCCCTCACCATCCCATTGACTGAGTCCATTGGTTATGTATACACACATACAAGTTCATTGCTTGATCTCTTCCCACCCACCCTCCTCTGTCTTCCCTCTGAGGTTCCACAGTGTTCCATGATTCTATGTCTCTGGGTTTATTATTGTTCATCAGTTTATTTTGTTGATTAAATTCCACATATAAGGGAGATCATGTGACACTGTCTTTCTCTGACTGACTTATTATTTTGCTTAGCATAGTACTCACCTATCCATGCTCTTGGAAATGGTAAGCATTTTGAAAAACAAGCCTAGCCCTCTCATTGCCTATTGGAAATGCAACAAGTAAAATGAAGCATGAAGGAGACTTAAAATAATGTTTTCTCCTTTCTCCTTTTCAGATGGTAAGGTGGAAGTGACAAAAGAAGGCGTGAAGCTGTGCACCATGGGTCCAGGAAAGGTGTTCGGGGAGTTGGCTATTCTTTACAATTGCACCCGGACAGCGACCGTCAAGAGTAAGACTTGCATTTTTTTTTTCCAGATACTTTCGATGTCTTTTTTTCCTAGACCAGTGAGATGTCGATTGACACACTTCTTGATCGAATCTTTGCAATTTTATTAATCTATATTTCAATTTTTGCTTTGAAATATAGCCCATCTATTCGTTTTCCTACTAAAGGATGATTGTTAATCAGTTTTGTGTAACTCAAATTTTGTTGCTACCTTATGAAACGTATCCCTTGAACCTAGAATTTGTATGATTATCAGTTTATAAATTAAAATTGAACTGGAGCAAGACATTTTTTTCTTTCTGCCTTGAAAAACCTCAGAATCATACTTAACTTATTTTTTACATTTCTGCTATTTTGGGTTACATTCCCCAAATAAATGCTCACTTCATGGTTTAGAAAAATTGAGAGGAGAAATGTTGATCTCATTCAAACGTCAAGTGAGATATATCCTGAATTCTAAAACTGCTCCTGTGTATATTCTTGTCTTCAGCTGCTCATCAAGTTGCATATTACAGCATTTTTCTTTTCTACTGACTGAGCTTATTTTAAATCAGGGCAATAAAGCAGCTTGTTTCCCTAATTTTACATATATGTGTATATATGATTTCTCTAGCAACTTTTATTGCTTGGTAGAAGCAGCTGCAATAGACAGAGGGGGAAAATGTTTTAAACATTCCTTCTTCCCGACTGCAGGATGTGATGAGCGTGTAACAAACAGCTGAATGCAAATGTCAACCATGGAAGGTCCATTTTATCTTTAGGCGAACATAATTCATGTTCAAAAAGGTTTTTCTGATTCATTATCCTGTAGATGATAGCAATCACAAATTACTGTGATTAAGCTGTGTCATTAAAAAAATTATTGAAAAATGACATTGCTAATAGCAATCAATTAGTTTTATCTGAATGCCACTGGTTATTTTGTTGTTTATTTGCTTTTTTTTCTCAGAAGTATGGCAATGATTGACAGTATGGCATTGAAACTCGGGTTGTAAAGAACTTCAGAATACATGGCCAGCTAGAGTTCTAGAAAATGTCTTATTTGTCTTATTAGTGAATCATCTTTTTATTCATTGAAATTGTCAATTACATTGGGGCCCTTATAAGATCAGCCCTTGTTGGCACTTGATTGTCTAAAAGTATAGAACTCTTTTGATTGATAGGCGCCAACATGTTTTTAGTTCATGTGAGGATTTAATTACATGATCCAAAGAATAATGAAGCCCAGTGAACATAACAGATTCTGCCAGAACTTGAACTCACAAAGTGCCTTACTTAGGAAAAGACATAGTCATGACTTCATTAAATGAACAAACTTAACTATGATGCTTTCTTTTTATGATACATAGATTCCCTTTAAGTCAAAAAAGGAGCCAGAATAATTCATCTTAATTGAACAGGCTTTCTCAGAATTGTGAATAATTTTTCTTAAGTTTAAAAGTATTGACAATTTTAAAATTTTCAGTTCTGTATACTGCTCATTTAATCCAATTAAACTACAAAATCCCCAAAGGTCGACCTAGTGCTTAACCTTTGAAATATTGAATTTTTATTAAATACATTTTTAAAAATAGACTAATGTATTTTAAATAAATTTTACAATGAAATGTTTTTAATAAGATGGATACTTTGTTTCATAAAAATTAACTGTGTTGCTTGCATCTTATAAAATGGTACTAATCTGTTCTAGCTTCTATTGCACTTCTGTTTGGTAAATTTAAATGCATCTGATATGACATGAAGAAACTGGGTGTTGAGTGCAAATTATAATCCTAACTTTTCAGGGCCAAAATGTCAATTATTACTGGAAATTAGTGATGGAGTATGTTCTTTAACATAAACTCAAAAAAAATCTCAAGTGTGTGTGTGTGTGTGTTTGACTGTATTTGAGAAACAGCCTAGAGTTGATGGTGTGCAAATATATTTATGCAAATATATAGGTGAAAAAGCTTATTACATGAGCGACGAATAATATCTATGAACAGTGGTTCCTTCTGAATGTTGTATAAGAACTATAATGTGTGACTAATGATGATTTATTGTTCAGAAACTTTTTACCCTATTTCCTACACTATCCAACGACATTGTCCTTGTGACTGTGGTTCTTAAAAACCATTTGTAATTTAAATTATAAATTATACCTCAGGCTAATCACTTTATAAATCTGATTATATTCCATTGTGAATACCACTTGTGCCAAATTACTAGTCAATGCTATCCTATTCTTTACATGTGATATTTTAAAATGTCCTTAAATGTCTTTTTAGATCCAATTATTTCTCAGGATTCAAATTTTTGTCCATTTCTTCTTAACTATCATTTTGCAGGTGATGACCATTTTGAGTCAATTTTGAAATGAAGTCATCCACTTGAGTGCAATAGTCTAAGGAGACGGCCATTCTACTCAATAGCTTATCACTCATGTGCCTCTTTTTTCCTCAATTACTTGAGCTTGTGATTTCCTTTTCCCAATATCATCTGCTTTCTTTTATGATTAAAACTGTGGATGATTCCTTTCTGTTTTCTTTCTCCCTAGGTTAGCCTGAAATTTTAATGCGTTTTTAATCTCACAGTGTTAACTAAATCCTAGGTGTCATCAAAGAGCTCTTCAATCTAAATGAGTCATTTCTTGTTCAAGATGGCACTTCTTTCAAACTATGCCAGAGCATGAATAAATTCCAGTGACTTCTTCTTCTAACGAATGTGATCCTAACACCTGTGGGTTATATTTAACTTAGGATATAAAAAAATAGTTTTATTTTCTTGTTGAGGTATAATTAACATTTAACATTATATTAGTCTTGTTGTACAACATAATGATTTGTTATGGGTATATGCTGCAAAGTGGTCAGCACAGTGTCTAGTTAATATCTGTCACCATCCTTAATTACAATTTTTTTCTTGTGATAAGAACTTTTAAGATCTATTCATGAAGCAACTTTCAAATGTGCAATACAGCATCATTAACTACTAGTGGCCCGGTGCACGAAAATCATGCACTCGGGGTGGAGGGTGTCCCCTAGCCTAGCCTGTGCCCTGTCACAGTGTGGGGGTCCTGTGATCCATCACCCAAAGAGGTAGGACCTGCCCACCCATTCAGGGCTCCTCTTTGGATTGCCCCAAAGAGGTAGGCTGGAGCTGGGGAGGCCTGCAGACCCTGGGGCCAGGCCTTGGCAGAGGCCTGTGGACCTCCGCATGCCTGTGGATTCCCAGCTGGGCCTCCATTGGAGCGGCCTCTCTGTGTACCTGCAGGCCCCCAAGCTGGCACATGGGGGGCAAGGACACGAACCTCAAGTCCTGGACCCATTGCTGGGGTCAGGGACATAAGCCTTATGTCTCAGGGTTGATGCAGGAGGCGGGTACACAGCCTGCTGATCAGTTGTTACATGACAGCTTTCCGACCAATTTGCACATTATCATATTGTTAGAGAGATACGTGTCATGCTATACATTATTATATTCCCATGACTTATTTATTTAATAACTGGAAATTTGTACCTTTTGATCCCCTTCAGCAATTTCACCCCCACCTCACCTCTGGTAAACACCAACCTATTCTACCTATGACCTTGAGAGCATTCCTTTTCTTTTTTTTTTTCTTAATTTCACATATACGTGAGATTATACAGTGTCTGTCTTTTTTCTTTCTGACCAGGGTATTCAAGGTCCATCCATGTTGTAAAAAAAAAAAAAATAATAAAAAAAAAATGGTAGAATTTCTTTTCTTTTTGTTGTGGCTGAATAGTATTTATAGAAATATGGAAAGAAAAAATATATAATATGGTGCAGATCTGTGTTCACAATCTCCCATCCTATAAGACAGCATCATCAATTTTCCCCTGAGGCATTTGGATGCAAAAGTATATCAAATCAACACAATATTGGAAACAAAAATCTAACCAATATCCTGAGGCTATTCACAGTTTAAATAGGCCCACGTTTTCTTTATTAACTGTGATATGAAAATGGCCACTTGTGTCTATCCAGTCATAAGCATGCCAGATGCCAGGGGGAGGAAAAGAGTCATTTGTTTTATTAGATTTCCACAACACCAAACAATTTCTTTCTCCAATGCTGTTTGAATTTCACATTCTGTCTGCATATTTGGGGAATCCACAAACAAAGAAGTTTTCTACCATCTATTTTCAAATCCCACGCAGATAGAAATTTTTAATATGCCCCTTGAAAATTCCTTTCTACACAATCCCCATGCCTAGAAGCATGTCATTACCACCTTGTCCACTGTGTCACTCCTGGTTGTGATTTCACTTTCACTCCCCTCACAGCTAAAATCAGACCCATTTGCACTCTGGACTTCTTGCCTTGCTTCTGGGCCCTGGGTTCTTTAAAATCACAATAGTAGAAAAGTCAAAGTTACTGGAAACCTAAAAAGAAAAAGAAAAGGTCTTTAGGTTACAGTGAAAGAGGGATTCAGAAATACAGACCCTATGTGTGAGTTTTTACCTGGATTTCCCTCAACTAATTCTCACAACTACTCAGGGATTTTTAAGAATGTATTTTAATTGATTTCCAAAAGGAAGGGACAGGGAGAGATAAGAGCATCAACGATGGGAGAGAATAATTGATTGGCTGCCTCCTGCATGCCCCACACTGGGGATCGAACCCACAACTAGGGCAGGTGCCCTGACTGGGAATTGAACCATGACCTCTGGTTCATAGGTTCACATTCAGCCACTGAGTTCAGGCACTCAGGAGTTTTTTAAGGTTTGAATCTTATGGCTCTTTGCTCCAACTTTAGTTGTACACAAATTCGTCATTTTTGCCTGAAGATACTATTATAAATTGAAGCCTGCTTCTCTTACTTTGAGTTTCCAGCTCACAAAGCCCCAACTCTTAGACAGCACATTATTCTAACAGTCTCATTCCAATAGATTTCAATAAAATCCAAGAATAAAAGGTCTCTCTCTTTGGATAACATTTGGATACCAATTTAAGATGATCACCATAGCCCTAACCAGTTTGGCTCAATGAATAGAGCATTG